CCCCAAAACCCCAAAACCCCAAAACCCCAAAACCCCAAAACCCCTTTTTAGATTTACATTATTGATCGTGGTTAAGGAATTGAGAGATTAATCAATTTGGTAATCATCCATGTCTTCATCATCATCTAGCCATCGAACTCTTTTACCATTTTGCCATTCACCCCTTCTTTCCTTATCATTTAGATATATTGAGCCAATACCATGCTTCTCATTTTCAAACCAGCCTCCAACATATCTCACTCCCTTTGGCCATCTGAAAATACCAATTCCTTGCTTTTTGTCATTATAGAAGTCTCCTTCATATGTTTTGCCATTACACCAATCAAAGAATCCTTTTCCATGCATTTTATTTTCACTGAAACTGCCTTTATAATAGCTGCCGTCTGACCAAGTATATATTCCATAGCCATCTTTCATGTTGTCTCTCCAGCTTCCATCATATTTAGAGCCATCTGCCCATTCATATACACCTTGACCATGCTTTTTCCCCATATAAAATTCCCCATTATACACAGATCCGTCTGGTTTTGTCTCTCTGCCTCTGCCATGTTGGAGATCATTTCTCCAGTCACCTTCATATACATTGCCGTCTTGATGAGTGTAAGTTCCTTTGCCTTCTGCTTTTCCATAGACAAAATTTCCTTCGAAGCGATCACCATTAGCATGCTTGAATTCGCCATGACCATGAAATAGGTTATCCTCCCAATTGCCTGTGTAGACACTTCCATCCGGCCAGGTGAAAGTCTTGTGTCCATTCCTGTTTTCATTGCTCTGGAAGGGATTTATGTAGTGACGATCTTCTTCAATCCGGTCGATATCGTCATCATGATGATGACCAACACCTGCTCCTTTCCTCTTTCTTCTGTGGAGACTCATGTCTGTACCGGCGTCACTATCTCCTGAGCACATATTTCCCATTTTAGCTTTATTTTCCAGAAAATTAAATTTATATCTCTCAAATTCTCAATTTTTTCTGCAGAAAAAGGGGTTTTGGGGTTTTGGGGTTTTGGGGTTTTGGGGTTTTGGGGTTTTGGGG